CTCAGTGATTATGAAATCACGAGGGCTATCACCTGTCAAGCGTTGTCGATCGAATTCCGCAACACCCTGTATATATATAAAGAAAAAAATTTAGAATTTGCATTCTCCATGTGATGGAAATATTATTTCTTTCTCGGTTTATTCAACAGAAAACAACTACTCTCGTGCTCTCGTGGCTATATATGCCACGACCGACATTGAATTATATCTATTGAACACACACGATAAGAATTTGGAAACAAAAACTTCTGAAGTAGAGAATTTATTGAATTCTCCTTCATATAAAGATATATGCACATAATATATCATTAATTCTGAATAATCAACAAATAACAACTACTTTCCTGGCTATTTGCCACGTCGAACATTGAATTATATCTGTTGAATATCCAAAAAGAGAGAATGAAAAAATCAAAATCCTCTTAAATTGAATATTGACATTATCTCTCAAATCGAATAGAATAATATGATGCATAATGATATAAAAATATAACTTACCAACATGATGTTCAGTATTGGAATGAAAATGTATAGGATAAAAGCAGTATACTTGTATGATCTTGATGAGCTTGGAACTTAAAAAAAATCATTCGTATCAGATGACAGTGCTTATGTCAACAAATTATGATTCTTGTGGTAATAAAGACAATCAATCAATCAATCAATATGTCAGTTTGTTAGTTTCAGTTATATATTATAGGGAGATGAAAATTGTGAATATCATGAAAAATGGCTGAAAGAATAACTGCACTTCAAGTAACTAATGAGGAGTTTTATTCGAGTGAAGACATATTACCTATTTGTGAGATATAATTCCCATATCACTGATACGAATGATTTTTGTGGAAGTTCCAAGCTCATCAAGATCAGAGTTCATGCAAGTATACTTCTATACATTTCAATTTACATTTCAATAGGTACTGTGAACATATTGGTAAGTTATATTTTTATAACATAATACATCATATTATTCTATTCGATTTGAGAGATCATGTAAATTTTCAATTTAAGAGGATTTTGATTTTTTCATGCTCTCTTTTTGAATATTCAATGTTCGATGTGGCAAATAGCCAGGAAAGTAGTTGTTTTCTGTTGAATAAACCGAGAAAGAATTAATATTTTCATAACATGAGGAATGCGAATTCTCAATGTATTTCTAATATACAGTGTGACCCGCACTTTCTCATGGAAACACCCCTCTTTTTTGTTGGAGCGAGAGATATACCAAAAATGCACTCTATGACCAAGTGAATTCATCTTCAGTGATAATAACACTGCTGACCAACAGCCATGCATGGAATACCACCCCAATTTCCGGAAAATGATATTATAGGAGTCAAAATAGGTTGAAAATCACTTCGAATTTGGAATCAGGACGCCCAATTCACTAACTATTCGTAATTTTCCTACGAAATTTTAAGTTCAGAAAAATTAAATCTTGTCTCATCACTGCTCATATGAAAGCAATAACCCCGTAATTATTGAGGTAGGATTCAGAAATTTGCAGGAGGAAGGAAAAGTCCAAAGATAAAGTCAATTACGTAAGATATACGGGGGTGCTTCCGTACAAAGTGCGACAAAATTTAATTTTTCAGAACTGAAAATTTTCCAGGAAAAATATGAATAGTTATAGTGAATTAGGCGCCCTGATTCCGAATCTGAAGTGATTCTCGACCCATTTTGACTCCTAATATCAATTTTTGGAAATTGCGGGGTGGTTCAATGGCTGATGGCGAGCAAATATCACTGAAGATGACCTCACTTGGTCATAGAGTGCATTTTTGGTATATCTCTCGCTCCAGCAAATTTCAGGATCCTTACCCAACGATTACGTAAGATACAGGGGTGTTTCCATTAGAAAGTGGGTCACACTGTATAAAACAGGTCTTTCGATCTATGGGTCGTTCAATTTTTCAAGAAAGTATAATTTAACCGGTTGAGTTTCGCTTTGAAGTTGAAATATTTAAGAAAATAATCATGCTTACCCATTTGGGAGTTGTTTCTTTCTGGAGTTCACAGGCCACGACATATCGAGATCTCTGGACTGCAGATAAACAACTGACGAACAATCAGACGTATTCGAGTTTTATACTAGCAAAATACTGCGATTACTGCGTAGGTGTAGCACGATAGTAAGATAAGTGGATATTGCAACGTGTACCAATCCGCGTTGTCCACATAACTTGATCGAGAGCTATCAAAGCGAATATAGAGTTGGCTTATTTAGATTGCTCATCTCATCAGGCGCGTTATTATTTTTGTTATCTCTTGGAGCGCACGAAAGGAAATTACTATAATCAACTACGAAATAGCCATGCACAATGTTCAAAGTGGAATGAAATGTTAAATAAATGCAAAAAGCTCAAAGTCATTTCCACACAGTGTTCATAAAATGAACAACAATGGTAGATTTCGGGAGAAAAACTACTTCCCCGGCTATAATGCCACGCGGCTAATGCCGGCTAATGTCCGCATGCGTGTAAAAAAATATTGTTTCAACACCTTGTATCTTGAAAACGGATGGCGTTACGACATTTTTTAATTGAGCAAAGCCAACTCTTTTTGCAATAATGTTCTACCTACCCTAGAAAGGGGGTTAGGTTTTTTTGAAACACCCTGTTTAAGTTCTTGGAAATACTTCTATTGGCAAATTATTCCAAAGCTCCGCGTCATTTCATAAAAGAACGAGTTTGATGGTTGTTCGTCATTTTCCAATATGACTCTTCTCTGGATGGAATCTAAGAGCATCAGAGCGTATGTCTGGGTGCAGATAATATTTTTTCACGACGGGAATAAAAATTTATTTTGGCAGACATATGATTGTTGGACACAAAATCAGACATATGGTACCTCATATAGATATTAATTATTAGAATACGTCTTTTGGGACTCGTACGTCTCGGATCAATTAGAGATGATGAAAAGAAAATGACAAATATCTAACTAAACAGCATTTGGGCACTTCGATGGCGCAAATTCATTTTTGTTATGTTCTGGTTCCCTCGAAAAGGGTCCTGTAATGTTCAGAGAACATCGTGAGAACCAAGGGAAATAAAGAATTTGAATTGAAGTAATTAAAAAAAAAAACTATATCACCCTTCGTCTGTCAGGCACAAACCATTTTGGTTTATCTGACAGTGTTAAAAAAATGTGAAATTGTTATATTATTTTGATAATGAATAAAGAATTTGAATTGGATTTTAATTGAAGGTAGGAATTGGTGTTCTTCTTGAATTTCTGGAGATTATATGCCTCGGGGAACACCTCCCTTGGCAATGTGTTCCAGAGCCTCGCTGTTGGTTGGATGAACGAGTCTTTGGAAAGAGATGTTCTGCAGGGGTCTCCAAATAAGGGGTGCGAAGCCTCAACTCGACGGGTTAATCTCGCGGGGACTGCCAAGGGAGGAACAATTAATTGTTGATATTTCAGAAGAGCATCGTCCATGAAAATATCTATAAAATAGAACCTCTGATCGCCAATTTTTCTACGGTGTTCCAGAGAAGTGAGTTTGTGAGCGAGGCATCACCTACATGAGACGAATTGCCATTTTTTGGACAGAATCCAACAGTTTAGGGTATGTTTGGGTGCTGCACTCCAAATATGGGAACAGTATTCCAGGACAGGTCGGATCTGTGCCATATAGATCATAAGCAGCTAGAATTGAAATAGCTCCTGGCCCGAAATAGAAAACCAAGTCTTTGCATGGAATGCACTTTATTTTAGCAATTGATCTCATGTGATTTTCCCAAGAAAGGTTATTGCTGACAGTAATACCAAGCATCGAAATGGATGTCTTCAAAGGTATGGTTACTCCTGACAAGCTTATATGTTGGGCACAGTGAGATCGACTTTTCTAGATTTGCTGCCTGGGAGATATCCTGCTTCAGATTTCTTGCTATTCAGTGACTTGATCAAGAGTGACATTGACATTTTAGTCTCCTAGCTGCGCATTCAAAATGCATGAATTCAATTAGTAATTTTAAAATACTGAATGAACATTGATTCAGTTCTATTGGAGTGAAATGATCTTTGATATTAAAATTAAATAAGTCAAGTTGACTTGAATTTCAACATTTTTCATATAATAATACCCCATAAAGGACCACACGACCCAACTGAAAAATGAATTAATGACCAGCATACATTCATTAACTTTCCAAGCTTACAGACGATGGCAACTCAGTTGCCAAAACAGGTTCCTTAAATATCATAATCGTGCTATTACGAGTATAATTTTGTTTCCATTTAAAATAGCTATATATCATCACAGGAGTTCTTCTCTTTCACAATAACCCAGATAACACCGACCAACTTGAGAACTGACAGCCGACTATTGAAATATAATACATTCCCGGCGTTGAGGTGTCCAGGCAGCCGCCAGCCGGCCCTAATACACATTACCGGCATTACCGGCGATTGAATTAATAACTTAGGGTGAAGACACACGGAGCGGTTTTCGCCGACTCGGCGGCCGAGCACACGAGCTGTCGTGTCTTTATGGAATAAAACAAACGCAACATTGAGCAGCGCTGCTGCCGCGCGTACGGTCGTCTGGACAGCGAATTAAGAAATGAATGCCACTTTGTGATACATGGCTGGATAGAGAATTTCAAGGCAAAAAAGATAGACTGAAGAAATGTACAGGGTGACATTTAAAAAAAAAGTTGGGGTCACTTCCGTTCAAACAGGTGGTTGAAAAAATATGTCGTTAAGTTCGTAAAGTGCGCTACCATTTATTATATACTTACCCCCTGTGAATTTCAAAATGTTTTCTCTTCACCTGTGTCACCCGGTATATATCAGTAACTATATAATATATGGTGTCATAATATCTGTGCGCAAAAATTCATCCTCCTTAATACTTATTTGCAAGCGCATTTACGTTGATGGTGACTGAGCGGTTCCATCAATGGTGCATTTAGATGTGTTGCCGCTCTAGCACTTCTAAGTCAATACTTTAATCACCGGTAATGTGTATTAGGGCCGACTGACGGCCGCCTGGACACCTGGACGCCGAGAAAGTTCATGCACTCCCCGGAGAAGTGTGTGCTTTACAAATGCTGGGCCAATGGTTGGTGTTAACTGAGAACAGCTCATCGAAATATCGAGGCCAAATTCTTCAAGGTCAGCCCGGTTTGGTCGATCTCCACGAAATCCTTCAGGCCCTTCTTGCGCACCCTCAGGCTGATTTCGGCCGATTCGCAGTTCTCCGGCCAGATGGCGCTAACCTGCACGGTGCATCCTTTGCCGATGAGGCCCTTCTCGTGGGCGGCCGCCAGCTGGTTTACCACCCTGTGTGATATCGAGAGGAAAATAATTGCTAGAGTCACTGGATGGTATTAGCAGAGATTATACACTCCCCTAGATAGGCAACGCCCGTGTTAAAACTGGCCGCGCTCCGAATGGAGCCACAAATCCAGTTTCGTTCCCGCCATTTGGAGTCCTGTGAAATTCATTCATGAAAATCGTCGCGTATCTACCGAACACTACCGAGTCCCCGACCAATCCCGACTCACAAAATGCGTGTATGCCAAATCTTCTTTGGAACTCTCGACGCGTCTCGAACCAAATACAACTACCGCTCGACCGTCCCTTTCCCCTCGCTCGACCGTCCCTTCCCCCTTGCCACCCTTGCTCGACCTTTCGCCACTTCGCACACGTGCCGCCTATCCCTTCATCTCTAGAGCAGGTATAATTTTTAAATCTGGAGTCTGGAGGTGCCTGGAGGCTGGACATATCTTGCCATTTTATTACTTATTAATGAATTATTGTTGTTGTATGTGATTTCGATGCGATTGTTCTCTTTTATTTCTCATTATTGTGGTTACCTATCTGGTTATTACTGTATTGTACTCTGTGACCAGATATTCTCTGCTTTGACGATCATGAATCGCCCTCAGGACCACCGTAGTGGAGATAAATGTAGTTTTTTCAATTGTGGAATATCGCAAAGAGACGATGAAACTTTACAAATGTTCGTGTTCCTAGTGATACTCGTGCCGAACAGTGGATTTTAAATTGTGGTTAGTTGTAAGTTTTAATACTTTTTTTCAACAAACCTCAAGTTATAACAGAGAGCGTTATTGTTTTTTTTTTCAAAAATACGTATAATTTGAATCTTGAACCTTTTCAATCCTGAAGTAGGTATGCTTAGAAGGGGTTGAAATATTACGAATATAAGACATTTTTTCTTACAACTTTTCTTGGATGAAGAATTTTCTTTCAAAAAGATGTCAAATTCTTGGAAGTTTTGGAAAAAAAATTAGTAAATAAATTTTCAGCCATGTTTTTTTCAAAATTTCATCCAATAAAATAGTTGTAAAAAATATCAAGAGGTTGAATTAATATTTCAAACCCTTCTATTAAGCATACTTTATATAGGGTTGTAAACATTAATGACAAATAATATTAACCAAGTTTCGTATCTTACAGGAAAAATAAAAAAGAAACGAAAAAAAAAATGTTTTATCATCTTCGGAGGGGTGTAACTTTTCCGGGGAGATGTTTATCAAAAATCACCCCTTATATATTTTTTTGGTGTTATTTAGATACACCCTGTATAGGTTTTTGAATATATAAAAGAACATCCTAGATACATTGAGAATAACAAATAATTATTTGAAATGACCTTTTGTTATATACAGTGGTGTCCCACTTATTTGAGCAGCCTCGCCCTTGTATTTTCTAATTCGTTTTCCGATTCGATTTTTTTCTAAAAGAATGCGATCTACATTTTTTGGTACCTACCTATTCCATTTTCACATTGCACTATTACTGGACGATAGAAAATGCGAAACGATCAATTATTGATATCATGCTTTTTTTTAAGCAAAAAACTGAAAACATTACAGCACTTCAAATAATCTCTAGAATATAATATACAGTGTCTTCAGAAAGTTTGTGTCTATTTAGATTTTACACATTTGTTCCAAGTTTGAACGCATTTTCTGGGGTGTGTATACGCGGCGGACTGGAAAAAATGCTGCGGACTGGCTTTTTCCAGTAAACAAATCGTTGTTTTCATTTCATATCTGGATTGAGCTCATTGACCTAAACGATAAAAAGTTTACGAAATTTTTTCCCAGCTCCCCCTGGGAGCACTTTACTCGTTTATTTTTTCATAAAATCTTGCGGACTGGGTATTTTTAACAATAAAATCATCTCAATTTTCTCAAAAATCGATTCATCCCATTAGCTTACACGATGAATAGTTTTTAAAGTTTTTCCCTAGCCCCCCTGGGGAGCACTGTACTCGTGTGTTTTTTCATAAAATCTTGTGGGCTGGGTATTTTTACCAGTCAATTCATCTCAATTTTCTCAAAAATCGATTTATCTCACAAAAATACAGGTTTAAAATATTTGCAAAATTTTTCGCAAGCCTTCATGGGGAGCACTTTACTCGTTTGTTTTTTCATAAAATCTTGCGAACTGGGTACTTTTGTGAGTCAAATCATCTCAATATTCTCAAAAATCGATTTATTCCATGAGCATACACGATGAATAGTTTCTAAAATTTTTCCCTAGCCCCCCGGGGAGCACTTTACTCGTGTGTTTTTTTATAAAATCTTGCGGACGCTGATGAGGCGTCATTTGAATAAGCAAAATAGGGTACAAAAAAAACATCCTATCATAGATATAATTCAATGTTCGTCGTGGCATATAGCCAGGAAAGTAGTTGTTTTCTATTGAATCAACTGAGAAAGAGTAAATATTCTCATCACATAGAGAATGCGAATTCTCAATGTATTGCTTTATATAAATATATATCCATTTTTGTATGTTCATAATTTATCTGAGAATATTCCTTTTCAATCCTATCATAGATGAGAGAGAGAGAGAAGAACACCAATTCCTACCTTATTTCCCTTGGTTCTCACGATGTTCTCTGAACATTACAGGCTCGATTACAGGATATCCCTTTTCGTGGGAACCAGAACATAAAAAATGTATAATATCAAAACAAAAAAAAATAAATTTGGTAACAACAGAAATAATATCACATTTTTCAGTATTGTCAGTATCGCATATTTGAAATATGAAAATGTAAACATGCCGGAAGATTTCATGAAAAAAACACACGAGTAAAGTGCTCCCCAGGGGGGCTAGAAAAAAATTTCAGGAAACTTTTCATCGTGTATTTTCATGAGATAAATCTATTTTTGGTAAAATTGATTTGACTTGCGAAAATACCCAGTCCGCAAGATTTTATAAAAAAACACACGAGTAGCTCCCCAGGGGGGCTAGGGAAAATTTTCGAAATCAGTTTATCGTGTATTTTCATGGGGAAAATCGATTTTCAGTAAAATTGAATTGATTTGACTCACAACAAAAATACCCAGTCCGCATGATTTTTTGAAAAAACACACGATTAAAGTGCTCCCCAGGGAGGTCAGTGAAAAAAATCAGAAACTTTTTATCGTGTAGTTCAATAAACTGAATCCAGATATGCAATTAAAACAACGATTTATTTGCTGGAAATAGCCAGTCCGCAGCATTTTATTCCAGTCCGCAAATTATACACACCCCAATTTCTGTAATTTGAAAGTTGTTACTTCGACAAAACTGTTTCATACCAGAAAATTGAAAAATACCAAAAACTAAATGTTGCAATAGAACATTCAAATTTGAGAGGAATGTGTAAAATCGGGAAGGAAATAATTTCGCGTAGTGAATGTTTTTGATTTGAAAAATTCTCACTTTTAACATCTAGTGTAAGTCACGTGACTCCGACCTAGCCAGCCATTTTAGATATATGTTACTTAAATCTCTTTATTTTCATATTTGAGACTTTTTCTGAAATAAATACCAAGTGATTGGAAAGTTTTCTTTTACATTTGTTTCTCACACCTACCTATTACACTATTACACTTAAACTATAAGCTTGGGCATGTTTTGAATGTGTATGACACTGTATTTATCGTTTGAAGTAATTGTATGTACCTAATTTGGTGTTTTCAGCTTTCATTCATAACCACAGGAGTAATCAAATATTTCGTGCATAGAAACATTTTTTCTTTTCCAAAAATGATCAATGAATAGATGAATTTGTTTGTGGAATAGAATCGGATCATAATTACAAAACTCGTCTCCAAATTGGTTCTGCCATCTTGAATTTCCTAATTTTCACGGAAGAATCATAATCTCCGACCCCGAAAACTCCCTAATACAAATTCTGAATAGAATCGGATCATATAATTACAAAACTCGTCCGCCATCTTGTATTTCCTAATTTTCATGAAAGAATCATAATCTCCGACCCCGCGAAAACCTTCAGATAATAGAATCGGATCATAATTATAAAACTAGTACGCCATATATTGGTTCCGCCATCTTGTTTTTCCTGATTTTGACTAAAGAATCATAATCTTCGACCCCAAAAACCTTCAGGTATCTATTTTGAATAGAATCGGATCATAACTACAAAACTCGTCCGCCATCTTGAATTTCCTAATTTTGACGAAAGAATCATAATCTTCGACCCCGAAAGCCCCCAGATACAAATTTTGAAGATAATCAAATCATAATTACGAAACTCGTCCGCCATATATTGGTTCCGCCGAGGGTTCCGCCATCTTGTATTTCCTTATTTTGACCAAAGGATCATAATCTCCGACCCCAAAAACCTCCAGATACCAATTTTGAATAGAATCGGATCATAATATTAAAAAAAACTTGTCCGCCATATTGGTTCCGCCATCTTTAACTCTCTAATTTTGTCCAAAGAATCATAATCTCCGACCCCGCAAACCCCCAGATACAAATATTGAATAGAATTGGATCATGATTACATGATCGTCCGTCATATCGGATCCGCCATCTTGAATTATCTAATTTTCACGAATTTCAATACTTTTTATTATCCCATTCCGGACTAAGAGAAATCCGAAAATAATCAAATATATTGGACTTACTTTTATATAGATAATTAATGTACCTAGATAATTCGTAATATTGAAATATAAATTAATTATTATTCGTATTTCATAAATAAATGTCAATATTTTCAAGTAGTCACGGCGTGAATCCAAACTCTCCTTGAAAATAATCATCGTCTCGGCTTGTCTCGATCATCTCAGATATAATAAATTAGCACTACCAATATATTAGGAGTCTTGGCAACGATGTAAATACCAGTGAATGGACGTAGTAAATATCGATTTTACTACAGCTTCAATATTCTATCCACGATAGACAGCGACATCTGTTGAAACACATTCACAACTCGAAAGCCGTTGCCTCTCATGCCATATACAGTGTTTATCTATGGTCTGTATAATCTCTGGTATTAGTATTATCAAACTAATACCATCCAGTGACTCTAATAATTGCCATTTGAAAATAGAAACACAGGGTCTGTACAAAATCTTAGTACATATTTTTGAGGTAGAAATAATTCAATAGTCCAAGAGCAGACTGCAAATTTCGACCTTCTTACCTGATATCGGAATGATGTATGTATATCCCGAAGACATGTGCAAAATTATTGAAAAATTGCACTTTCTTGTGCGGTTATTTGCACTCAATTTGGCGAATTGATAACGAGATAAGAATTATGCCATCTGATACCAATTGAATGGTAGATCTCAAAAATCCACGGCACAACGTTATATTTGCTGCCATTGTTCTGGACATACTTCCGTCATGTGATAACAAGTTGAAACAGAAATCAAAGGAAAGGAGATATACTGTCCCTTCTGCGAATATCCAAACATGCCGCTATTCAAAGACAGCTATGTTAGTGGCAGAGCGTACAAGTATTCAAATCCACATGTTGAGTTTCACACTGGTTCATCGGATATTATCTTCCGAGAGGGGCGAAATATTCTCAGAAATAATTACGCTCTTCCACTAACTTAGCTCAGTTTGAATAGCGGCACGTTTTGATCATCTCGTTATCACATGACGGAAGTATGTCCGGAATAACGGCAGCAAATAAATCGCTGTGCCGTTGATTTGGCTGAAATTAAGGGTTTTTGAGATCGACCACTCAATTGGTGTCGAATGGCATATTTTTCATCTCGTTATCAAATCGCGAATTTTTGTACAAATTAAAGCATAGATAGTGTAATTTTTCAATAATTTTGCTCTGGATAATGATTGGCACAGGTGCCGTTCAATAAAATACAATGTTTTTACATGCCTTTGGGACATATAATATTATTCATAAGGCGTCAATAATCTTCATTAAATAGAATCAGACAATAACAAATTGAATCAATCAACAATGTACGACTTGAAAAACATAAGGTTAGAATTTTAGAAAAACATTCCAGTTTTATTGGATCTAAAATTTATAACAAAATACCATCGAAATTGAAACGCCTGTATATCATAACTTTCAAAAACGAAGTTAAACGTTAGAAAATGCAAAAAAAGTCGATGATATTTTTTAATCAACTCTATTTTTCTTTATATTAATTTATTTTCATTATTGTATGAATTGATCATTTGTTTTCAGTTTGAGTATTTATATTATGGAAAAACAGTGTTATGTATATGTGAAATAATTAATCTCTTTCACACAGGTCAGTAACCAATGTGAAGGAGGTATAATATGAAATATATATACTACATGTTTTGATACTCGACGACAAAATGTAGATTTCACTTGATTCAATAAATGAATAAATAAATGATTAATCTACAGATCAAATCATAGGTATTCATGGTATAATAGTAGAAAAAGGATGAAGTCACAATGGTGCTAGCTCAGTGAGATAATGGCAGTTCATTATAATGACGTCAGCAGGTTGTTGAAATATCCCTAACTAACTTGCTCCTGTAGTTAATCCTCAGACTATCAATAAAAACGTATACGACAATACTTTTCCATAAACACATAGCATAGATTGAATATGAATATAGAAAACTTAGCTATTTAAGAACTATCGTCGATCGGTATACAATCTCACTTGTACAGGGTTTATCAACACATACCTGCGTTCGACTTCGTACTTGATGGATCGGGCACCGTAGTTGACGTCATAGCCATCTGCCAGGGCCGATTCTACGCTCCTATCCCATTTTATCTCGATTTTGTGTTTATCTTTAGCCTGAAACATGGAAAATATAATAACAAATTCAATACTGAATTCGATTACATGTGACAAGAAAGATTTGGTATCTCATTCAGTCACAATTTCGATTATTCACTGATAAATAGTACTCGTAGTACATGATATACACCTAGGGACTAAAGTGGTGTTTTGAATCCCAAGACAAAAAGTTTATAGCCCGACCAACAAGAGGGCTATAATTTGTCGAGGGATTCAAAAACACTTTAGTCCTGAGGTGTATATTCTATTCTAGGCACTTCAGGATAGGTTGAACGTTAAAAATGAAGAAAAAAATGCCGCTCTACACGGTAGATGTACACTCTGTTCCTGAAACGTCATCAAAGGTGCTGATTGTTACCATATCAAAGATCTCAGTAACTATGGTGATCTAGATTCCAAGGAAAAAGTGGTACTTCAAATCCCTAGGGAATTGAAATGTATTTCAAATGCCGAGGGATCTGAAATACCATGTTTTTTTTTCTAAAAATAGGGATTTAAAGTACCCCGAAGTGCATAAATTAGTTTGTGAAATGATTCTTGAATTTCCTATTCTTCCATTTCAGATTCCTTTGGAGAGAACATATATTCTTAATGTAGAGATCATGTTTGTAAAATGTTGCCATTTTGAATTTCTGATGCCCCTGGAAAAAAATATATATGACAACTTACTCTTTGGGCCCAACATTGCAATTCCCAAGTAACCAACTGGATCAATTCATTCCTCGAAAATGGCAGGAAATAAACGATTTCGTTTATCCTGCCCAGAAATTCATCTCTCTTGAAATGCCTTTTCAGAATGGGCTTCACCACCTCATCTTTGAATTTCCGAGATATTGTAATATTATCGGAAATATGTTGTTCATTCTCTAAAATGGAATAATACATTATTAAACTTACAGCGCAATAGTAGATTACTATCCTTGATCTACAACTGTTTTCCTACATTAAATGTACCATTACTGAAACAGTGTGTCCGTAAAGTATGGAATAAATTTGATATTTCCTATAGGAATAGCCATTTCAACGAATCGAAGAAACGTCGATTTTCAATTTCCATACTCTATACAACAAATTGTCACTATACAGTGTGATGCACATTAACATGATAACGAAATCGGCATTTTTTTCATGTCATTTTGAGACCAATAAAAATTAACTGATTCCTAAAAGGTATGATATGATATAGCTACTTGTTATATGGCGCACAGAATTTGAAAGATATGCGCTAGGGAAATAAATCATATCAACTGCAAAAAAAGCAGCCCACTAGATTTTACTGAAATCTCAATATTTTATTGACGCTCAGTAACAGTTGAGTAGTAGAATTATTGTTGTATTATTGCTCAGCATTAATTCGAAGTAGAAATGAACTCGAGTGCGAAGCAAATAATTACAATATTACCTACCTCCTCTCCCTATCACATCATTGGAATTTCCTTACGTGTGCTCCAAGAGATGAAAAAATATTTAGATCACGAAATCAGATAGAAGTGTGAAGTGTGTATTATATCTTTTTGGAATAACCTCATTTTCATTGAACTAAAAATGTCAAAAAAAAATTGTCACACGGTAAACATTAAGTTAATCGAATCATCCGTTGACATAGAACTATGAAAACTGACCAAGGAACTCTCATGAGAAACGTGCTAGTCTGATAAAATGATGTATATAAATAGTGGATGTGAGGGTAAGTTAGTCTGGTCTGGGGCTACTCTTGACTTGACAAGAACTCGTCGTAATGGTAATTATAATGTAAGTTGTTATCAGGTCTTTATATTCATTGTTGTTTATTCATATTCATCATCGCTACCCATAATGTTTCATACTCCAATAATTATTGTTATGTTTGAATATAGTCTCGTACTTTAAGTTACTCCTAAACTATTAGTGCCTATTCGAATATTACCTCTCGCATACTATTCCAAGCAAACCCCTTATAAATCGATATGAATGGACTAACCATCTGTTATATCGTGACAATATATGGTGTTTGTTACGTTAAAAAGCTTCACCTTTGGAATCTTTTACACTCAATCGTTCCTGCTTGAGTTTCTCAATTTCCTTCCTCAACTGGAGTCCGTGGCTAGCGATTTCATCGCTCGCCAAATTCGAAGTCATTATGAAAATGGCGTCTTTGCATTCGATGGTCTTTCCTTGGCCGTCAGTCAGTCGACCTTCGTCAAAAAGTTGCAGCAAAACAGTCAGCACGTCCGGATGGGCCTTATCCACTTCATCGAACAGGACGACTGCATTAGGACACTTTTTCAGTTTTTTCGTCAGTTGACCCCCATCATCGTGGCCTATGTAACCTGGTGGGGCTCCGATGAGTTTTGCGACCTTGAGAAGTGGGAGAGAGAGAGAGAGAGCAAAACTAAACCAAACTGCATACAGTAGCATAACTACAGGGTGGGAAGTCAGCAAAATGCCACGGACCACCAGCCAGAAGGGGCCCCTGGTCAGAAGGGAATTCCAACTCTCAACATTTATAATTACACATTAAGAAAACAAAGCACCCTGCAGTTTTGTGAAAATATAGGATTGGATAGATCAAAGCATGCTGAACAAGAAATGTCCTTTGGTCCAAGGTCCGTTATGCCCGTTAAAAGAACTTATAAGCTCTTGAAGCCAAACGAGATAACCTCTACCAGAACAGCACATCCTGTGTGTGATATGGTTTTGTCATGGAAACCATCCATTCTCAAAGTGGTCCTATATTTTTCAACAAAAGAACTTTGAGTTCGCTTTTTCTTTTGTTTAATATGGTTTTGGCTGATATGATATTTTTCAGTGGTCAAATAATGGTCATTCATGTTATGCCAGGTGAAGCCTTTGAACAAAAGGGTATGTATTACTTTGTTCAAATACGTTGCAAGTCTCGACCGGGGACTATTGGTGGCCTTTCTCATCGCCTTTCCCTATAATTAAAACCACCAATCAATGGTCGCAATATTATACCATCAGCGATGACATGTTCCCGATAAGATTGGGCATTTTCTGGGATAAAAATATGATAGGTGAAGTAAATTATTATTCGCGCCACAAAATATGCACACTCTTGCATGGATGGGCAAGACATCATTCAGGTTCATAGAATCAACGATATCCCAAATTCCAAAAGTTCCTATATAATGGATCAATTACAGTTCAGAAATAAATGAGTATGATAGGTTAGGGGTATATCCTTTCTTTCTAGAACCTGACGACGATGTCTTGCGATTGCTTGCTGCTCAACATTTTGATCTCAATCTATGCATGCCATAGCTTTAATTTTGCCTTTGCTATGGCATATAAAGCAACGAAACCTATTCTGATAAGCCATCTTATATGTTTTTGAACATAACATGAATGACTATTATCTGACTGCTCAAAAATATCATATAAGCCAAAACCATATTACACACGGGATGTGCTGTTCATGTTGAGGTTATCTCGTTTGGCTTCAAGAGTTTATAACTTCTTTTAACGGGCATAACGGACCTTGGACCAAAGGACAACACGACGCACGAATTATTGTGGGCAGTGTCTCAGCATTCAGTACAATGTTGTCAAGTATTCAACATCTACATGATATTGTGTAAAGGAGTATAAGAAATATTTGGACAAGCTGGTTGCTCGAAAAAGTCAAGAATGAACTAAATTATCATGACTTCCTCCTATTATGTTATATATCGTGTTTTATTCTACAACAAATATCTTGCTGATAACTTGATTATAATTGGTGACTTGACAACCTTGCTACATTGTGGAAAATGAAGTGGAAATTGAAGAATAGCTGACCGAAACAGCATAACAACTCACATCACCATTTATTTGACATATTGCAGAACATGGCCAAATGGCGGCCATGACGGTATGTTTGAAATGAGCTATAGAATTCAACAATTTTGACCAACACATACACTCATTATCTACAGAAAAAGCGTGAGAGGTATTGCAAAAATTAATGTAGGTCCCTAACGACACAGTAAATAATTTATTATCAGTCCCTTAGTGCCCATTAGATCATCTGGCAACATAGTGAGAAATTCAGGCCAAGAAATAGAGAAGAGTTGTGATGAGGAATGACAACAGTTTGCAGACAGATGCCACCAGAAAAATTGAAAAAAGTTTGTTATTTTTGTATTGCTATTATTTTTAGATTTTTCAATTTCATTTCTTGATAAAAATTTCGAATTTCTAGTGATATTATTCGTTAATTTTCTCACTCTGTAGATGTTGATGATCTAATCCTTACAAATTATTATTATCCATCCTGAAAATTTTGATTCCTCCACATTTAGCATAATATCATCACACCAAAGAAAAAAGGGTTTTAGAATCAATGTATCTTATGAATATGCAGAAAAGTGCAGAGATACAGAGAATAATACAGAATAATTGTATGAACATATATCCCAGTTCAAAGATTGATCTCAGTTTAATACCAAATCACTCAGCAATAATATTGTTTTATAGAATACCAAATGAATTGTAAGGGGCTCATATAGTGTGAAAAAATTCAAGACACATTTGAAGAACTGGCTTATTGAATTAGAATTATATTCAACTCCTATAGATGAAAATTCCAACTATTCATTTTATTGGTGAAAAGTTTCATTCTTTGATATATATTATTTTCAATAAATGTTGAACCTTTTTTTCAAAAAAAGAATATATTTTGGTCCAGAAGTATATAACCCCCAATAATTGTACTCAACAAATTCCTAACCTTTTGTCCTTCCTTTGATAACATATTATTATACATTTCCCAGTTGATGATGAGAACATGGAAATCAACTTCTTCAAACAGAATTTTACAATTTAGGTCAAAAAGAAATAATTTTAATTGAATTTCTAAAGTAAGTGAAATATTATTGATTCAGTGTATTTTGGCATGCAAAGATATCCCAAGAAGTTCCATAAATATTGAATGGATTGGCCTCATAATAAAACCTGGCAACAACTCAATATTCAGGAATTCTAAACAGAAAATCATTGTTCCCTGTATCTCTTCATTGAGTACCTACAGGAATATGACACAGACATTTATATATTTATGTGGAATTTGAACAAATCGGAACAAATGATACAGGGTCCTGATATTTCTCTCAAAAAAATTAATTTGATATGAACTAAATAGTACTTAGAGTGTACTAGATTTCAATTCCCCTAGCTGACTTACTTCATGTTTTTCTTGATATTCTGACATATCCAAACGAATGAAAGCTTGCTGTTTGTCTTTGTGAATATAAGCTGCCAGTTGCTTAGCCAACTCTGTCTTGCCAATACCTGATGAACCCAAAAAAAGAAATACCAAAGGGTGATTATCATCAGCCCAACCATTTTCCTTCCTTCTGATAGCTACAAATAGAGAAATGAACTGGAAAATTGATATTAGGTCTGAATTTCAATGCTCACTTGCTGCAACAATAGCTATTGCTCCCTCTTGGCCTACTATGTGTTTATGTAACCTTTCTTCTAAGGGATACCTCCTTCTTTCTTCCATTTCTTTTTCCTTCAGCTTATCCTCATACTACAAACCATTTCCAGTCATTTTTTCGAAGAGGTATATAAATTTTAAAGAACATACAGACATATCACAAAATTATCACAAACTTCTAGAATTGGAGTAGAAACTACTACTAATAGATCAACAGATTATTATAAGAGAGTATATGACCAGTTGAGTGGGAATAAGAATGTCTATAGGAAGCACAAAATAACAATGAAAAATTTACACATTCCTATTGAGGAAATGCAGGAATTGGTGAGGGAATAGGTAATGGTGAAAATGCTGATGAAGAATGTATTCATTGAGTTAAATGATGCTTGGTTGAATTTATTTGATATCTTCTCATATTGAGGTGGACTTTAGGCTGCAGCCTGAGAAGTTGTACATTTAAATTCAATATGATAGAGTACATCTTATATTGTCAATATTCCTGAGTTAGTGTGATAGCAGATATAGTGAATATTAACTCACAATTGCAATTTCCTTTTCCAGGAATTGTTTCAGATCATCATCTTTGGCATACATCATAGGAGTGTGCCCAATGTCATTCTCTATCATTGGATTTGCACCATGCTTTAATAAAAGCTTCACAATTTCTAAGTTATCAGTTAAAACAGCATAGTGGAGAGCAGTGAATCCTAAGAATGTTGCTTTATTATTCAAGCTGCTTGAGAATTCTTCATCACGAATCATTAAGACTAGAAGAAAATTCAATAATGTACCTACTCAAGAATTATTGTAGTATGTTTTATATCAACCTTCAATAGGGTGCATTCCTTTTTCATGTGCTGTTCTATTAGCATTTATGTAGTTATCAGCTAAGTTTGGATCAGCCCCTGCTCTGAGTAGAATTTCAACAATATCATGTTGTTCATTTATTGTAGCAACCAGGAGTGGAGTCCATCCCAAATGATGTCGTTTATTGACATCAACCCCTTCTTTGATCAACCTAAAGTATGTTAATGATTTGATTATTTGATAAGCCTTGTTTCAAAGATAATGCAGGTAGGTACCTTCTCACTTCATGTGTTAAACCAAACATACAACCTTTGAATAATTTCTTTTCATCTCTATCAAAGAGTTTTATTTCGCAAAATACCACTCCCAAGCCCAAGGTGAAGATCATTCCAGGTATATTGATATGGGAATTGTAGTTTTCTCTTTTCTTTCTTTCATATTTTCTGGATACACTTTGAAGACTTGAATGTCGGTCACATTTTGTAAGAGTAAACAAGGGTTGTATAGTCTTGTTGAGTCGTGTCGTCCTATGAATGTTGTACAATCTGAATATTTTTAACATTTTTGAAGAGTTTAAAGAATGTATTTATTTGTAAAATTGAAGTTATAGCACTCCTAAACGTCAAAAAATAGTCTTCGTCTTCTTTTTTTAAGAAGCTGTCCTCATAGGCTATCGAGCTATTGTGTGACCTACCAACTAACCAATCTGAAATTTTGTAGCCAACAAAAAGGAAACGCACAACACCCATATCAACACCATGCACACACCTAATGAGCAAATTACATACAGGGTGCACTCGAAGCACTTATTTTAACAGAATGCATTGAATCAAACCATAATTTTGAAGTTTTTTTATCTCTCGGAGAGAAGTGAACATATTTTCATCAAAATTTCGAATTTGCATGAACGATTCAGTTTAACATAATGTTTGCAACTCTTATTTTTTTGCGGCTGCATGTGTAACAAGATTGACATAAAAATAGCAGATATCGCATTTGTGGCGCAGCCGAGTTGAAACAAAAGTCTAAATGACCATCAAACTATTTCGCGCACGCGAGTTGTAAACAACATTTTTTCTACAAACGTCAAGGAATATCATAAATATTACTGCCCAGCTAATTATATGGAAAATAGTGTTAAACTGGCTTAAAAGGCCTTAATTATAGTGTCGAACTTTCAAAGATAAATGATTTCTTGGATGTTGATTGCTCGACTGAGAACCATGAAGTTCGAATTCGAATACAAAATTCTCATATAATAGAGTTTACATACAATGCGGGAAGTATGTATACATACTTCGCTCATCGTTTTAATTCGCAGATATATATGGTGCCGTAACTGCCGTTGTTGTGTGTTGGGTTGTTGTTGTTTTGTGACGTGAAATTTTTTTACATTTCACATCTGTTTTTTTCCGGATATATAGGTTTACTGATGATGTTGATTTTGTTCCAGTTCCGAATTAAATGAACCAATAACACCGTCTCCGAGAAAGAACTGAAAGTTCTTTTATCTTATTATGTAGATTCCACTTCGCATTACGTAAATTACTAAACAACCACTATTTTGGCGCTCGGTTTCTTGTATATCCTTCCGCTACGCGTCGGGAGACAACACAACCTCGAGCTAATATACTATTTTCTATTGTTTAATAATTAACTATGTTTTCACAATCGCTTCGGAGGGTTGTAACTTTTCCGGGAAAAGGTTTATTAAAACATTCGATACCAAATATGCTATCCGGCCATATGTTCATTTTCGTCACAGAATCATCCCTTGAATTTATTTTTTTTGGGTTATATCTGTCCGCGTCAATTTTATTAGTGAAATCCGTCATTCTCTGAAATGCCTAGTCATTTCATGTATTGTCGGCAAACAGCGTAACAGCGTAACTTCCATTTTGAACCGTTACTCTGTTTGCCGGAGGGTTGAGGAAGGAAAATATCCTTTCTGCATATGCATAAGAGAGATTATTTTTCCGCCTAAATGAACCTTCTTTCTAGAAAGTATATTTTTCAGAAAATAACTTGAGAGAACAGGAGAGACTACTGCTTCTAAAAAACCTAATAAGCTGACTCAGCCTTCCGTCATTACAGGGAATACCTGAAACTATTAGGCAAACGGTGTACGAAATTAAGAGTTACGCTGTTTGCCGGCAATACGTTAAATGACTAGGCATTCCAGAGAATGACGGATTTCACTGTTTGACGCCGACATATCGACAGAATGATGGAATTAAAAAGATTGTGCAATATTTCAGTGGTTTTAGTATCGAGTATTTTAGGCACGAGCGTAGCATAGTGGAGCGAGTGTTTAATAAACGAGTGTTTAGATCGAAGAGTTTATAAACGCCTTACATACTCTACGAACGAACTCATAATTCCTCTCTTCGACAAGATCCTCTACTCTACAGAATAATTCGAAAGGAATGGGAATTCAGAACATATAATACTATACAACTGCATGTAACCAACGAGACACCTATAACTCGTATAAGTTTATATTGGTTGTAGATCTGCGTCCAGTCCAGTCCAGTCCAGTCCAGTCCAGTCCAGTCCAGTCCAGTCCAGTCCAGTCCAGTCCAGTCCAGTCCAGTCCATTATATGAATTTCTATTGAAATGGCTTCTTTACTGACCTTTTGTGAAGAAGAATCCATCTGACGTAGTAAATAAAAACTCTTCGATTCGATGAGGTGTGAAAGTTTTCGATTTCTCAGGTTTGTATCCACACAAAGATGATACCTTCATTTTTACTTAGAGACTTCTTGGAAATATGCAACTAGCTAGATACCTACCTAAAACATTCTCTTCGATTTCAATTTCGTCTACATTTCGCATACATGTTTTGAAGAATTCTAATACAAACATAAATTGTTTGAATGATTCTGATTGCAACAAAAAATTCGAGAGGACTCGCACGACTGAAGGTGTGTTTAAGAAACTGTCTGCTGCAATGGTAATGTGTTTGAGAATTTGTGTTATCATGGCAACGTATTCAATTTTTTCAATAAGATCATCATCAATTCATGATCAATCGATCATTTACCGTGGTACATATCCGTACGCTAATAGTATATTATTATGTAACAAGTGTTATGAACGTCCTTTTGGTAACGAGTATTTTAAGCACGAGCAGAGCACAGCGGAGCGAGTGTTTAATAAACGAGTGTCTAGAAGAGTTTATAAACGCGTTACATACTATGCTTTTTCTATGAACTCCGAAAATTACATAAACATACCTGCTATTCCTGCTAACCTACAGAATAATTCGAAAGGAATGGGAATTGAGAACATAATACATGCAACTGCATGCAACCAGCGAGACACGTATAAGTGATATTGGTTGTAGCAGATGTAGTGTCCAGTCCATCGCTTATTAACCTTTGTTTCATGTTTATTGTCATATGCTTAGCGCAGAATATATAAATTGTTCTCAATGATGGATGCTTCATTTTTACACTTCTTGGAGATATGCAAGTACCAGAACATTCTCTTCGTTTTCACTTTCGTCTACATTTCGCATATATTTTCAATGAAGAATTCTGATACAAAATTTGAAAATAACAGTTGACCAGTCAATACAATTGACAAACCAGACATGTCTAAAATTACTGGAGCCGTGTTTAATGAATTGTGTTGCCATGGTAATGTGTTCAAGAAATCGTGTTGCCATGGTAACGTGTTTAATATTTCGAATAAATCACAGATCGTCAATCCGTGATTAATTGATCATCTAGCTTAATACATATCCGTATAAGCTAAGTGCCATTTTAGTTATACACGGAGAGAAAAAATCACTAACCCTAAGTGAATATTTAATAGTGGCAAGTAAAAACTTGTATACTATATGGGACAAGGAAACAAGTTAATAACCACAAGAATATTTGTGTTCCTGAAAATGTACACCTACCACTATTGACCTGTTTCATTGAATTTCAGAGTGATAACGGTTAGTGAACACATAACTTATTGTCATCAGTGACCTATTCAATTGTCATTAGTGACTCATTCACTTTTCATTAGTGACTTGTTCACTAGTCATTAGTGGCCTAATACCATGTCAGTAGTGACTTAACTACTAGTCATCAGTGACTTATTTACTTGTCAATAGTGACTTATTCACTTGTCATTAGCTAGTATGAAAAAATACCTCCATTGTTCTCTGAAGAATGATAAAACCTTGGTAATAAGACAAAACCACATGCATTCAAAACATTTTATTACATAGGTATGATGAATCCAGAAAATACAAAAAAGGTAAGGCTGACGACAAATATTGAGATACTAGATACCGCGTATATCAGCATCATGCACCAAGAAAAACGGTACTCTCACTCACTGGCACTGCACTTTGGTTCACTATCTTTTTCCTTGCAGAGCATTGAAGATGAATCAACTTTCATACTTTTTAAACGTCACTTCCTTCCACTTCGAGTATCATAAGAAGTGGAAAAACATCCTGTATATATGTAGAAACAATCATGTACTGTTCTAGAAGAGTTTTGTATTTCATTATCTCCTTCGAGAGAACAGATCAAGAACACAACACCCCACAGCTCAGAGCACGGCCACAGAGCACGGCACACAAACAGAGAATTCTCATACGAATATGATATAGTAGTTGTTCGAAAGGGCACTTGCATGACTTGGAATTTCAATGTTACTAGCGGGAACGCAAGTATACTAACTTCACGAATGCTAAGATCGAAATGACGCCGTGGACTCGTGGACACTGGACAGTGATCGCGTTGGGCGTGGGTACTCGAATAATATCGGAGATGTCCGAACGGAAAATAGATCTATAACTACAGGTGAGCTGTCACCTGCAACAATCGACTTGATAGATTGTCTTAATTGATGAGTTCGCTCAGAGCAAGTGATCTTATGTCAGAAAAATAATTTAATAATAGTGAGTATTCGTTAACCTAGCACTAGTTTAGTGTTCACTTAGAATTAGCGAACTCTAAGTACATATCGACTTGGTTGATACCAACAAGTGTTCTGATCACTTACAGCAGAAACTTCGTTCCAGAAATATAGTTTTGCCTACTGCAAGTACCATATTTTCCTACCGTTGGTGAAAATGTTCTTGTCACAATCGACTTTTTTTCAAGAAAACAATTTACTTGGCCGAGTTTTCTCAGTGTATGAGTAGAAGAATTATATTATTATCAGTAGGGTATAGATCGAGGAAATATAAGTTTCAATTGTTTCATAACCAGTAGTCATTTCCGTCGTCTTCCTTATTCCTTATCTCCAAATTTAATAAAGTCTACCAAAACTTTTCCAATTGACAATATCCCCCAGCCACTTACACATTTTTTGTCCATTGCCACAATGAAGGCGTTATTCGATTTCGCTCATTTGAATTTCAAATGGACGTGTTTCTTTTATGTAATGCCCATCTGAGCACAACTCTATCTCCAATAATGAGATTGAGGTCGCTGTGAAATGCTTCCTCTTCTCGTTATTTCCTTCTTATCTACATTTTTTGTGTGTTCTCGCATGCCAGTATCGTCGATATTGCTGATATACAAGGTAGTCTATATCAGGGTCCTAAGGTGAATTTATAGGAGGATCTCAACTTTTTACTGCTCCTAAGGTGGCGTAAATGGAGTTAGTAACAATTAAATTCTAGATAGAACACACTTGGGAAGAAGGAACTCTCGTAAGGTTGATGGCCAGTTGGAGTGTACACACACACACCAAAAAAGTACTTAATATACTATACCGAGTATACTATCACTATCTT